AATAGAATAAGTTTGATTAGTTTTATTACTCACAATAATTAAATATTTCAGTTTTTAAATAGTAGGATTCAATCAAATAATTACAGAAGTTGCAATGAAAGAAAATTTTAAAATACACCTTGAACATGAAACTGAAGTAGTAATAGGAGCCAAGATAGTTTAAAACAAGACAATTGTATAAGCATATGGAATATTATGCAGTAAAATTTAACTGTGAAAATTAATAAAATGTGATTTTTTTTAGCTCAATGTGTTTGGATGGAAAACGTTTCAAAATGAATCTTTGTCCTTGCAAGACCAAACCAACACTCCCATCTGGTAAGTACAAGCATATGAGTAAACTATAATCATACTAGCAGATTACCCGTCCTTCGTACGGGGTTGATTGCAGTTATATTTAAGCTTTGCGTTACCTATATGTTAATCGGTAATGTGAGCTATCATCATGTCAAATTTCAGCCCAATCCGTCTAGCGGTTTATGTGTGATTTAACTTCAAACAAACAAACAATCAAACAAACAAACAATAACAAACAAACAACACACAAACTTTCACAATTATAATATTAGTAAGATTGCAACAAAGTTTTAAAGAACAGCAAAAAAAATATTGATTAGAAAAACTGATCATGGTTTGAAAACTGTTTTTTGGAAGCTATAAACATTTGGCTGTGTTAAAATAACCCTGGTTGGCTTATAGTTTGAATTTGAAGTTTATGTGTACAAATTACGATGCAGTAAATCCGGCCCGAATACTTTAATACTTTTCATTGAAATGGCGACCATATAACCATAGACAACGTGCTCTGGCTTACAGAGACCCACTCTACCTTTCCTTTCAAGTGCCTCGGCTGCCCAGTTCATGCTGTCATCATCACAACAGTTCCTGTAGGACTTTGACATTGTAGAACCTTTTGTTATCACTTCTTATTTAATAGATAAGAAACTACTTACTTTAGCCAGAAGGTGTGTCAAATGTAGTTATTGTTCATGCTGTACATGTTTTGAGATTCTTACAGCTCTTCTTCGCTAGCATTCTTGCATTTGAGATATATCACATCGAGCGATGTTTTCAAGTATTTACAGACACTTATATACACACAAACAGAAATAAACATTGAACGTTTTGCAATTTCCAGTAATTATGAAGTAATTTGCAAATGCACGAGCGGGTGACATTTGTAGGCCTACCGAGGAACAGGGGAGAGTGACGTCACAGTATCACCTGACTGGCGTTTCTTATTTCCTGTTTTGTTTCAATTTGGTCTAAAAAATGTATCATAATCGGCCGACACAGCTTTTAAATTAATCCAACAAGGTAATTACTCTCTTGGCATACATAAACAATGTGGAAACCATGAAACAAACTAAAAGATGACTTCACATGAAAAACATTGCTGTTAATTTTAATAATTTGATTTTAAAATTACTTAGCTTTCTTTACTTCTCTGCTTTACAAATATTGTTCTATATTGTTTGTTTGAATATTTTCAGTAGTAGGGGTGGCAGCAATGCAATTAGTCTATTGGACTATTGCCATTGTGTTGGCAGTACTGCAAATTTTCATCATTGTATTCTTGGTGCGGCATTGTCGCAAATGGAGCAGAAGAAGAAAAGTTGCTGGTATTAGAGGTTCGTAAGAAACAAACACTAAAACAAGATTTTTTACCAGTGGTTCTTTTGATTAAAAAAATAAGTCAGGTTTTGACTGTAAGAATCCAATTTTAAATAGTATAATTTGATAATTTATGATCTTAAAAACCATTTTGAAAACCATGCTGATAAATGTAATCATACCTAGTTTTGGTGTGTTGTATTCTTTTTGATATATTGCATATCATAATAAAGCTTAGCGCCTAGGAATAATTGTGAAATTTGGATCTTAGTAGAGATATCTGAATTTGCAAGAAAACTATAGGGTGTTCAAAATAAGAAAACATTTTCCACATATCTTAAAACAAAACGAAAAATTGATCCGACCGAAGTGTTTGTATTAAAAAGAACTTTGTTGTATGGTGTATTATACGACAAGTGTGCATTTGGCAATTGTGAGATACGAATAAGTGAACCTCTGGATTTTGTACATCCTGTATTCAAAAAACAGTTAAAATATTTTTACTTTTCTCCTTTGGGAGGGGGGGGTTTAATTTATTTAATCATTGTAGGACCCTCAGTTTGTTCACCCTGTGTATTTGATAGACAGTGTAATGATATAATAAGAGAATACAGGGCTATGGTTGGTTATATATCCTCTTGATTTGCTTTTTCTCTTAAATCAAAATAGAAGAGGACATAGTAGATTAACATAAACATTTCATTATTTTAAACTTTAACTGGTTCAACTAAACAATTTTACATATTTTTTTCAGATCTTCAAGGGAAGAACATGACTACAAACTCAAGCACCAGTAGTTTGCAAGTTCGTGTTAGTCTAGACAATGAAAACGCCTCAAACCCTACAGAGAATGTCGAGTCCAGTTCCAAACTTTAAAGTTTGTTTTACAAAATATTGCTACTAACTAATTATTTAAGTATATTAATATTTATAATTTTTGTCTGTTGAAAGTATTTTCTACAGTTCCTTTCGTCCTTGAAACTTTTCAGTGTAAAGCTGTATGTGTGATGTTATGATCAGTTCAATCAGAAATCACCATAAGAGTTCCTGAAAATGCGGACTTTGTAAGGACACAAAATATCAGGTAAATTGTATTTCATTATAAACAACAGAGGAATTTATCCACTTGATTTCTATGAGTATAATGAGTTATGTCCGTAGTATCTAGCTCCTTCCTGTGATGATTAAATTACGAGTTTGATTTGGGAAGCAAGATGATTGATAAAACAATCATCAAAATATGTATAATAAATGAAATTGGGTTTAGGTAACTCTAAAGACTTGAAGTAAATTCTGGATTCAATTGTCATTTTACAATGGCAAGAAATCATTTTCCTCTAGGTACCTACTACAGGGACAGTGTCACAGCTATACATTTTAGGGAAAAATATTGGGGTGCCAAAATTTAAACAAAAAAATTGAAATATACCAGAAGAGTTAACTACCATAGTGTAAACAGGTTGGAAACCTTAAACCCTGGTCATAGTTTATTATATATAATGAATTTTCATTTTAACGACAGTTTTTGAATAGTAGTAGAAGTAGTCAGGATTTTTATCGTCCTAACAAAAGCATTTAAAAATTAGAAGAGCCTTAATACACCATAAAATGTCAAAAATAAGACCAAATATCCCTTCCGATAGTACTATCCCTTAACTCGCTGGAGCCTCTGCCTCCAGGCCCCTCTTTTTTGAGCCGCCATGGGAAATTGCCTCGGGGGACAGGTAGCCTATAGTGATTGATGTCCCTTATAATTTTGTTAAAACATTACCTTGTAATTTTATGTATGCTGAGCAGAACAGTTTTCGTGCATTTCCTCAATTTAAGTTTAGTTTTGATTACAGTATAATATTTCAAAATTCCATGAGTAATTAGCTTTTTCTATCTTGTAACAAAAATAAAATTACACAACGAGTAAACAAATAAAAAGTTGTTCTTAGGATAAACCTATAAACCACAAAGAAACATGATAAAGGCTCAAAACATCAAATCCAAAATAATGTATCTAAATATTTCAATATCTATGTTCATTACAGTTAGGTTCTACCTGGATCTACATAATAATAATGTTACTAATAGTCAATGCTATAACGTTGTTTTTCAATTCAGTAGAATTGATTACCAGCCAAAACAATTAACCACAATTTAATCTTGTTTGGGTTCAAATTGGTTATTTTGTAATGGAGACCAACCCTTTTCTAATCTCCTAAAAGCCACTGATTTAAATGATTAGTAAGCAACACAACAGATCAATTAAGATATCTAATTATGTGGTCAAACCTCAAAATAGGGTGTGACAGGAAATATGCTATTAAAGGAAAAGGGGGAGAAATTGATGAGTTGGATGCCTGTAATTATTCATATTTTGAATGATTGAGAATTTAAATTATTTTAGGTTTGTGCTTGTAAAAGTGTTTTCAAAATATCATAGGTTATTTTTTGTACTACATTTTGTCACTCTTCTTGGCACACACTGACACATTTTAAACGCTGAGAATCTATCCTGTTTACTCGTTTGTTATTCATACTAATTGACTTTTTACACTTAGTTTCTTAAAATCAAATTGATGTTACCGATGGGATAATTTTTTTAAATGTTACAATGCTAGTGTTGGGATAGAAATTTAAATATGTACTACAATATTCCATATTATTGTGAATATTTGTTTAATTACCCTTTTAAAACCATAAGCTAATACTCACTGATTTGTCAAAGTTAAAATTTGATTTAACCTTATATGCTAATCGAGGTTCGTTTTTGAAGTAGCATTATGCACTTAAACAATAAGGTAATAATTATAACTATATATATAGGTATATATTAAATCTTGGTCTTCGGGGTTCAGCCGTGTCATTTGGTTACGCACACTATGTACAGAAACTAACAAAATTTCAGGCATATAACTGTTAGCCATCTTCAGGGCGAGCGAGCACTAGCATCTTAGTCACAGAACTCAACTGGCACGAGTGGGCCGGCAGGCTTGTACTAATAGCTATAGTACGAGTAATAGCTATCTTATTTATCGTTTTTTTTTCAAGCTTTTACCAACTAACATTGAATTCCATCTAAATGTTGATGTGATTCCAACAATTACAAAATATACCACCGGTCTTGTAAAATCAAATATTTTCCACAAAAAAGTAATTGATAACTCTTTTACATTTTCTTTGAAATCATAGACTAACAGTTAAATAATAAACTATTCACTATTTTGAGAGTAAAACTTGACAAAAAAAAAAAAAACAATAAGCTGTAGCAAACGTTATTTATTTACCTTAAAACAGGTTGTTACAAACATAAAAAATCATATAACAAACTATTAAAACAACAAGAAATAAATAAATAAGGTTAAAAATAAAAACAATCATTATGTTTCATACACTTATGTAAATAATCTAGGTTGTTTAAAATAAATTATGGATAAAATTTGTGAACCAAGATTCTTTCTGGTTTGAACCATCCTGTATGGTTTCCTGTTTGTTTGTAGACCCTTGCATATCGGTTGACTGCAATGTTTCTTTCGCCTGGGGAAGAAATACCTGTGGTATTTATTTGGTTAACACACATTTTAAATGTATAAGTACAGTCTTTAAATGCACACACCCTACCAAGTATAATGTTAAATTTGTTTGTTTGGTTTTAACCATGGATTGAACTAGACATTCCATATTTATGTTAACGCTAAAACTAGATTTAGAAAAAAAAAACAAACCCGATTGAATTGTGACACCAAGAGTACATAGATGTGGATGACTGATTTATGTTGAATGTACTATCTTTTGATACAAGCCGAATCAAAAGAATAACTTATTGGACACTATATTTTTTTGTGCCACAAAAACTAGTTGGGTTAAAAAAGATTTGTCTCAATAAACTGTTTTTAAAATACAAAACTTGCTACAGCTGGTCCATATGGGATGTCTACTTCAGTATGAGATTCTAGAAGCTTTGACAATTGATACAAATTCCATCACATGGTTGTCACCAATTTTTTTTATCAAAATCATATAGTAGTTGATGTGTGCCACTCACAGATTTTGCTGACCCAAACTACCAATTAATTACCTAATTATAGTTCGGCCGCTTAGAAAGCGACCTCCTCCAGCATTGGTTTAGCATTAGCGCGCAGGTCGTTTTCTAAGCGGCCGAACTATAGTTAATTAATTTCTAACAAAAATACACAAAATTTTTACCAAGTTAAACTGATGGAAAAACTTATTGTGTGCCAAAGCAACCATTATGGCCCACCAACTATGTTAGCATCAAAAAATAAGTCAGACAGTGTAATTTAGACACTAGCACGTTCTGTGACTGGCTCACACAAATATGTTCATTTTTAATAAAAAAATACTGACAACTGGTCCATAAAGATGGGAATTTTACTTCAGTATCCATTAATCAATGCTGGAAGTAAATATTTTAACATAACTAACTAGCCTATGTAATAAAAAAGTAAAATATATGCTTAACAGTTCCATATGATTTGGAAAATTTGTGTTCAATTCCAAGATGCATGTTCATGCTCATTACAATGTTTTGGATGTTTTTCTACATCATTTCCTGATTTCTATCGCTTTCTGCAATGAAAAACAAAAAATTTATGATTATTTTATGGTATAATCTATAATTCAACATGCGTAACAAAAAAATTATTGAAATTGAGAATAATAATTTAAGGTTATAAAAAATTAAATGAAATAATGGTTTATGGTTATTGAAAATGTCTTAAAAACTTTACATTTGGAATATAAGTTAGTATTTTTTTTAAATGGAGGCGGAAGACAACATAATTAAAAATGACAAAATTTGCGTGGAAGCCGGATTTACTGTAAAACTTGGAACTACTTACGATGTTATTTAGCAATCGTTACAGATTATATTATATCAATGAATACAAATTTTTGATCGACGCGGATTAATAGATTATTAGTAAAAAAATGTTAATATTTGTGACTTTTCAATAATAGTAATTTTAAATTTAGACTTTTCACAGTTATATGATAAGTACATTTCCATTTCCTTATTGCATTCTTATTTAAAATTATTAATATATGGTAATTATTATTACCAATTGAGATGAGGACTCATTTGGGTTTATTTAAAAACCCCAAATATGAGTGAAGGATGAGTGTAGAATAGGTTGAGTGACCTATCTAGCTTGTTACTGACTAAGATCAGGTGTTTTTTTAGCCAGTACTATTTATTCTAAGTACAATGATAAAAAACAGCTGATTTTTTTATTACCTGGTCAACAACTTTCCCCCAAGCAGGATCACTTCCAAATTCATCCTCGCTTCCTACATCTCCCAGCCGATCTTTCAGCCCAAAGTTAGGTTTGTAGTCTGGATAGCTGAAGTCTGGCAGGTCGTTAGATCCTGTTTCATCATGATACCAGTCAAAGTCCTGTTCCTCATTGAACACCTCATCAACGTCATCGTCCCATTGACTTTTCAGGTACGGAGGGTGCTTAACCATAGCGTTTTTCATCCCAGCCCGAAATCCCTTGTGTGGATGTTTCGGAAGCTTTCCTCTCTTTTTTAGCTTATTAATGCCAATTTTGAACATCCTCCTTGGGTATGTCATGCCAAAATCGTCCCCCTGGAAAATATTTATTGTTTAATTTGTTTTTGTTTCGTCTCTTGGAATAAATTTTCAGTCTGGTTTTATTCTTTGGTACAATACCAGAAGAGCAGCGATAGTTTTTGATTATGTTGTTGTACTAACTTAGTGTTAATAATTTTAAACTTCGTAAAATTACTGAGTTGAATAAAGAGAATACATCAAACACTATGGCAAAGAAGGATGAGTGTTGAATTTAGTGAGCTTTGTTACTGACTAAAAACCAGATGTTTTATTAGCCAGGACCATTTATCAAATAGCTCAAAGATGAAGAACACGAACAAAACTTTAAGTGGTCTTCAGTTGACCTTTGAGGTTGATAAATCTAAATGCTTGCCTATGATACATGATTTTTTTTGCAGTGTTCTGCATTAATATTATTAAAAATTAATTACTTATGAGTAAACCTGAAGAGCACATGATGATGATGATTACTTACATAACCTATAAGTCGGTCAATGTCCAAACCCATTGTATCTCACTTCTCACAAGTTGATAACTATTTTTAAAAAAATCGCTGAAGCGATATTTATACATTTTCAAAACGATCAAGTCGTGACGTATAACTTTTATCAGTAAACACATAATTTCATGACTTATCAGTTCCAGAAGCTACGCTGTATTTGTAAAATGCATTTGTTACGAAATAAAATGCGTTGATCTGATAAAATGTTCTGGTGTTTTCTGCGTTATCAGAGTTATTTTTACTACAATTTGTAAATAGTAATTTATCTGTTTACATTCATAAGTTGGAATGTTAATTGTTTGCTTTGTTTATTTAGTAAAGATACCGTACAAATGTTGTGTTTTTATATACATCTCAATTGGACTCTTCAGCGAGCTGTCAAAGAAATTCCAATCTGTAAAAAAACAATGTTACTGTTAATGTACTAAATTTTTGCATGAATTTGTCTTAAAATAAAACAAAAATATTCCTCCAACAGCTTAACTAATGGAGCTAAGCAAGTGAATGTTAACTTTACCGTTACAATAAAGCCTTGGTAATTCATAAGGTGGAATGATCAAAGGGTAGGCCCTAATCATTTGTTATGTAATTTATCGTACAAAACCGTACACCACAGCTACATGACAACTAGTCTGTCTGCCAATATTGACTTCGACATTCATACATTTCAGTGCGTTAAGGGATCGAGCCATGTCTACTTAGAAAACGTTTATGTCTTGTTAGTTTGTTTTAACTCGGAAAAGACAACTTGGAAGACGTCTTTGCATTGAATGATATAAAACATTGAAACCCTGGAAATCACAAAATACATCTTATTAACGATTTAAAAATTACCTTACACAAAACACCAAAACTTGTGATATTAATTTTTTGTTGGAAGACATATGAAAATGTGATTTTTGCTACAGGATGCTAAAATCTAAAACTCATTTTAATGTTTAACTAGGTGTTGGTCTTGTAAATTTAATAAAAATTTCACATCAGACCGTTTTAATAATGAAGCAGTGTTGCCAATCTTACAATCAGTGAGATATCCAACACACTCAGGGAAATTTCCCTAAAGTGCAATTGCAGGAATTCCAGCTGCATAGTTAAATTGCGTACTGAGTACAGTAAGCTTAACAATCTTGGATCCTCTTTTTTCTTAGATTTTTGTAATACAACTTGTGTAGGTAAATATTAAAAATTTTCAGTCAAATAGAAAATCAACAACAAAACAAACATTATAATCCATGGGAATGTGTGGTTTTTAACTGAGAAGTATCAGAAGTGACATTTGTTTTAGTTAAAAACTTTTAAATTTTAGTGTCTCTTAAAAAAGTGTTCACTAAAATTAAGATTAGGAAGCCTCAATTTCCGTAGTTAAGATATTCAATACCGACTATAATGAAAAATCTGTATTTTTCCAAAAAGTCCCCTTAACAAAAATATCACTGAAATATATGACTGTGCAGCTAGCATTACTTTTACCCATTTCATGAAAAAATATTTGCAGGACTTTAGACTTGTACACTCAACTTTAGGATTACTTATCGTGAAGGACGGTCATCTCTTGACAGATTTACAAAATCTGACTTTATCCTTGACAAGCTTATCATTCTGTCAAGATTAAGTTTCTTGGTAAAGCCCTGTTGTGGATTGATCTGTCACTTCCTCAGAGATGTTTTACCGCAGCATTTCCACCTTACGTGTTAAGAAAAATTTTAAAACTAGCCATAGTTATAGTAGGTGAATATTTATTGTGGTTTCATACTGGCATACTTGATACATTTTACAATGGTAAAATTGTGAGTAAAATATTTTCCCAGTTGAGTGATTTTTTTACTAAGGAAGTAGAAATTTCTCTACAAGAGCCATTTGTAGTTTTCTTTCTTTAAGTGTGATTTCTCTGTTACATCAAGTTGGTTTGAAAGTAGGCTGAAAATATTGCGTCCGCTGTAGCTGGGTGTTTCTTTTGACGGATAGATTGGTTTTCATATCCCACCTTCACAACTAGGACGCTAGGTTGTAGTCCAGAACTGTTTTACACATTACTTCATGCTAGTCCTAGAGGGTCGTGGTATTATCACATTAATAAAATCCAATGGTTATTGACGGTATATGAACCCGATACCTCGGGCTCCGAAGCCCCGCGCTCCACCACTAGACCAGCTTGCTTCCCTATGGTGGATTGGTAGTGCAGCTAAGGGTACTTTGGTATTTTACCGACCACACCGATAAATCGACTTCCAAATGAGATTTAATAGTTGAAATAGCAAAATCTTCCATAACCTGACCCAACCCGAAAAATTGCCCACCCATACGTTTAGGTTAGTTTAGGTAAGGTTTGGTTAGGTTAGGTTATAGTTATTAGGTGTGGTCGTATAATACCAAAGTACCCAGCTAAGTTGTAGGCCTAAGCATTCCTTGCCTTAATGTTTTTATTCTAGTCCTGCAGAAATGTGAGAATTTACAAAGCAGACAAAAACCTATTTCTAAGATAATCGTAAAAATTTCTTTCAGTTGGTTAACCCTAAGCCAATTAAAAAACTTTAAGGATACCCAGATTGGACTCAGTTAATGTACGAGGGAACTTTAATGAGGTTTTAACGTTTGTTTAAAACTTCCAACTCTTTCTATAAACTTAAAAGTGTTTCATAAGAAACTGTTAATTACCTCAAGTTAAATTACATAATGAACTGTGAGTAGACGGTAATTTATCTTACTTAATAAAATTGTTTACCACTGTAAAGGTACTTTTGGAGATTCTTAATTGTTTATACGTTAATTAGTGGGGGCTAAAAGCAAAAGCCGCAATCTCCACTCCTTAAAATTTTACAGGAGAGCCAAAATACAATTTGAGGTGGTGAAACCAAAGATAGAAAGCTGAAAATTTTTCTCTACCTTCCAATATATTAAAAATGAATATTTAAAATTAATTAGTTCTTAGAACTCATTATTTTAGTAGTTACACAAGCTTTTAGTTTGGACATTGCTAGTTTTGCTTTTAAGATGTGGATTTTGCTGCTTTTGCTTCCAAGTCTTTACTTAATTGGTTTTGTTATGAATATGTTTTTAACATTTATATCTGAAAATACCTATTTTAACACTAAATTGTAATTCAATAGTGTTAACTATAATGTTAGCGTTGCCTTAAATATAATATTAATTAGGTTTGAAGGAAATAATAAATAAAACATAAGGATTTAAAAGTAACTTTATTACATAAAAACACAGAGTTTCTTAGCGTAAAAAAGCGAATGAAGTCCTTCATTTCTTTTAAACTTGACTTTTCCTAAACAATAGTCTCCGGTGATTCTTCGGTCCCTTCACACTCAGGTTCTTCTTCATACTGAATGTCTTCCTGGTCACCATACTTCTCGAACAGGTTTTTGTAATAGTTCAAACTTGGGTGTTCAATCCAATTGGGGCCGTAGTGAATTTCTAGTAGTCTTTTAACATCCGTGAGTTTCACCTTTTTCACCAAACCAACCCTTCCAGTAGAAATCAACTTAGGGTTAATGTCGTCTATTGTAAAATTAGATTTCGTCAGAAATCTGTACTTGCATGTCTCATGATAGTAAAAGTGTTCCCCCTTCACCACGACCTGCTTTTTATTTTTAACAGATCTCTTGAGGAAAAACTTTTTTGTTGGTGCAAACTTGAAATGCCAAGTATTTACTGGCTTAAAAACTTTGTATGCTTCTTCTCGCCAATCTTGGACGTCACAATCGATACCTACATGAACTACAGTGGAAAAATTTGATATGATTTCCACATATTTCTCCGGGTTTTCTACTTGCTGCAGTGACTTAAATTTGCTTTCACAGTGGCCAAAAACCCTATCTGGTGGCATGAATGAATGGCCACGGATTGGAAAAATGATTTCTACACGTTGAATAGTTGATGGGGTTTCCAAAAGCCATTTTGAGCACATAGCAAGGAGGATTTGATTTTTGTTCTGTCCCCCACATCCATCCGCAAAGAGTCGCAGTTTTGTTTTACCGCTGAAATCGGTATTGTTTAGTAAGTGAAAGATACATGACGAGATTTCACTTGATCCTTTCTTGTGCTGATCTTCTGTCCATAAATAGCTGGTACAGTTTTCTTTTGTTAGTTTATCTTTGGAAGTACCTTTTACAGCAGTGAGATTATAAAGATAAACCTGCCGCCTATAGTAAACTTCCTGATCAGGGATTTTGGGTAAGGGTAAATTCTTCTGACAGTCAAACGATATGTTCAATACTTCGGGGTCTTCTTCTTTCAAATGATCATAGAACGCTTTTGCTCTCTTTTTGTGTATTGTTCTTTGAACGAGGAGGTCGTTCTTTTTCTCAGGGTTTTGCTCTAGTTTCATCCTTTCCTTCAGTTCAATGCAAGTTGAACACATGTCCAAACGTGGGCTGCCAAATCCAATGTTGAATTTCCGGTTGAAAATATACCTAAAGTAAGATTCTTTCACTTTCAAATTTTCCTCAACTTTTCCATTGTAAATTTTATGCAGTTTTGCTATGTTAAGCTCAGCAGGTAAATATTTGCGCCCACTTTGTGAACGGCAATAGTGCACGTCACTACAAGTCAAAGAAGAAACAAACTCGATAATTGACTGCCTCTTCTCATTGAACTTTGCTGACACATGATCTCCTCCTCTTGTTTCTTGGGGAATAAACCCATTTTTTTGAAAGTTTGCTGACACAAACTCAACTTGTGATCTTTTTATACAAAGGATTTGTAAAAATGCCTTTTGGCATACAGGAATCCTGTCATCAGCATCATTTTTCCTCACAAAAAACTTTGTATGAAAAGCTTTTGGATTTTTCTCATCGGTTTTAGGCCTTCTCCTTTGTACTGGCTTTGATTGGGTATAACGCAAAATAAAATTGTTTTGTGACTCTCTATCTTTGTTTTTATAAAAAAGGGTAAAAAAATCTAAGCATTGCTTCATTGTTAGTACACTACATCGATAGCTCTTGGTATGGTGACCACACAAAGGACGCTGTGGCAGTTCGTGTGCTTGATATCTGTAATAAAGA